GAAATATGTGTCTTCTATTCTGACTTAACTTCATTTGTCATAATGTTTGGATATTAATTTCAAGGGGAGTTGAAATAGTGGGAGATGGAGAAGAGTGAATGAGTTTCTCCCACTTTGTATTAATCTCACTACTTGTATTGAGCCCAAAATAACTATGAAAGGAGAACAAAATGTGTGACAAAGGATTATGGAAAGCTTTCCATCTTCATGATGTTATGAAGATTGCTGACAAACATTAGAAATATATAATGGAGCAATTGTGGATTTTCCCTCAAATCAGATGCCTCTAAGGACTTTCCTGCTGGATATCTCTGGAAGGAAAAAATACTTACTACATAACATTTATCAAAGTCCTTAGAATTCTTCTAGAGAAAAAGGGATCTAGGAATGCTGAAAGATTACCCACCATCTCATTATAGTCTCTCCTTTCTGAGAACATGTGAAACCAGAATTGCAAGACTGGCTGGACTAGAAAGGGAGATTACATCAGTTTTCTCTTAGTATGATAAGGAAGGTAGCAGGCAAGGTAGCAGGCACCTGTAGGAAAATCGCTTGAACCCAGTAGGCAGAGGTTGTAGTAGGCCAAGATTATGCCACTGCACTCCAGCCTGGGTGACAGAGCAAGACTCCATCTCAAAAAAAATAAACAATGTCAAGGAAGGAAAAAGAAGTTCAGTATTGTACTACAATTGGAATTTCCTCCATTTCATCCATTTTCGAAGGATGTGAACTTGGAACTTTTGATGATTCTAAGCCTTAAATTACCAAAAAGATCAGGGATTGCTAATGCTTCTAATAGCACTGCAAGTATAGGCCATAATCATTCCCTCCTAAGAAGTGAAAAATGAGAGAAATTCAGTACTTTCCCAGCCTCAGCCTCCAGAGGTCTAGCTCTGGGGTGGAAGAAAAGGGAACTAACATTTAGGGAAGAGATGAGAATAATTAGTGGGTGGCAGGAGAGGGTTGAGCTAGTGCCTGCTAACAGTTTAGTTGTCAGCATCTTAGAAAGAATTAGCAAAAAGAATTCACCAGGATAGCTGCTGAAGAGCTGATGAATGGAAGAAAGATGTTTGAAAAATAAAGAAAACAGTAGCCTCCGATATAATAACTTGCCTTTTTAATAGTTTTAACTACTCTTTTTTTTTTGAGACGGAGTTTCGCTCTTGTTACCCAGGCTGGAGTGCAATGGCGCGAGCTCGGCTCACCGCAACCTCCGCCTCCTGGGTTCAGGCAATTCTCCTGCCTCAGCCTCCTGAGTCGCTGGGATTACAGGCACGCGCCACCATGCCCAGCTAATTTTTTGTATTTTTAGTAGAGACGGGGTTTCACCGTGTTGACCAGGATGGTCTCGATCTCTTGACCTTGTGATCCACCCGCCTCAGCCTCCCAAAGTGCTGGGATTACAGGCTTGAGCCACCGCGCCCGGCAGTTTTAACTACTCTTGATACCTATAGCACAAATGCTGGACCTGAATCAGCCCTTCAAGGACCCTAGCACAAATGTCAACTGATCACCACTGGGAGAGCAGAAAAAAAAAATTTTTTTTCTTTTTCTTTTTTTTTTTTTTTTGAGACAGAGTCTCGCCCTGTCATCCAGGCTGAAGTGTGGTGGTACCATCTCAGCTCATTGCAGCCTCTGCCCCCCAGGTTCAAGCAATTCAACTCATTGCAGCCTCTGCCTCCCAGGTTCAAGTAATTCTCATTACTAGGCCTCCCAAGTAGCTAGGATTACAGGTGCCCACCACCACACCCAGCTAACTTTTGTAGTTTGGGTAGAGACAGGGTTTCTCCATGTTTGCCAGGCTGGTCTCAAACTCCTGACCTCAAATGACCCGTCCACCCTCGGCCTCCCAAAATGCTGGGATTACGGGCATGAGCTACTACACCTGGCCCAGGATACTTTTTTTTTTTTTTTTTTTGAGATAGAGTCTCGCTCTCATCACACAGGCTGGAGTGCAGTGGCACAATCTCAACTCACTGCAACCTCCACCTTCCAGGTTCAAGTGATTCTCCTTCCTCAGCCTCCCTGGTAGCTGGAATTACAGGCACACACCACCATGCCTGGATAATGTTTGTATTTTTAGTAGATGGGGTTTCACTATGTTGGCCAGGCTGGTCTCAAACTCCTGTCAGGTGACCCACCCACCTCGGCCTCCCAAAGTGCTAGGATTACAGGTGTGAGCCACTGCACCCAGCCCAGAATACTTTTTAAAATAACAGCAGGTTAGAGGAAAGAAAAAAATGCTGAATGTGGTGATGAAAGCATGTTTCTAAAACAGGAAGCTGATGCTTAAATAGGAAAGGCTAATCTGGGATTTTGCCCCATTTCTCTGGTTTTTCACTCCTATATTTAATTCTCACACTCATGTCCTTACATATTGTAAAAAAAACAAAATTCTTGTGAAGTCCCCAGGAGTTTATCCTTGGGTGAAAGTTTTAACCTGAGTATTGCCTTCCTCTAAAAAAGGTAAGAAATAAGAGACATTAAGAAATTAACTTAAAAATGTCTGCTATGAGTTTAAGAGGACTGGCATATTTGGAATGCTTCTTATACTAACATTGTCTCATTGTAAAATATAAAATCCCTTACTCTGACTACATTTTTATTCCTCTGGGAGTGTGGTATCCAGGCAACATATCAGTTCTGCTATGTAATTCTGAGAACTCTCATTTCTGGAGTACCTGAGCCAAACAAATACACTATGGAGGCTGCAGTTGTATCATCACTAGCAATTTGCTCTTTTTTTTTTTTTTTTTTTTTTTAAAAGATGGGGTTTCACCATTTTGGTCAGGCTGATCTTAAACTCCCGACCTCAGGTGATCCGCTCCCCTTGGCCTCCAAAGTGCTTGGATTACAGTCGTGAGCCACCACGCCCAGCCAGCAATTTGCTTTTATCATTATTTACTACCTTTGAACCTAAGGTTTCCTGCCTATGCTTTTGAAAGCAAGAATAAGTCTCCTTTGCATGAAAAAAAGGCTTATATTTTTAAACGTTAGTTACCAGAATGCTAAAATACCAGTTGACTACTCAAATTATTTTGGAAATCTATCCATAATGGAAGTCTACCACAAACACATAAAACAGATTATACTAAGAGCTGAGAAATTCAAAGGAATTGAAGATTCTGAGAGATAAGCTGTTCAAGTCTTAGCAATGATACTGCACTTCTCTTTGACAGATTCTGGGCTTAAGTTAGAGACCCTACTGGTTCCAAACCACATTCCACTGAGTTTGCAAGAAAAATAAATTTGATTTTGAAATAGGAAACAAAAAAAAGGAGAAAACAACTAAAAAGTAGAAGAAAAATGTTTGTAAGAGGAAGATGCAGATGGAATGATGTGGAAGTTCAGTAACCATGTCAATAAAATATATAAACCAAACTTAAATTTGTGAAATAAGGAAGTTGGTATCTTTGTTGTTACAACATATAAAAACAATTTCAGAACTGCTGTTGCAAAAAGACCTATATAGTTTTGCTTCCTTCTGGTGTTAAGCTGTTTATATTTCTGTTTCTGTTTTAACTTCTAAGTTGCCTTGTAATTGGGACTGTGTTTGATCATCACAAAAACCAAATATTTATTATGGATGCATCTGTATCAGCAATTAAAAAATAAACAAGTAAAAGTGATACTGTAGGAGAAGTTGAAGCTCATATAACCGGGACTGGAAATTTATCAACTTGCTGCCAACAGAACGACAAAAGAACTCGTACTGAATATGATCTATTGTTTATCAATTTCAGTCACAAATTTACCAATTATTTTTTTCTCTCACAAGGCAAGATGCTAGGTATAAGTTGCACAGGGGATATCAAGAGAGCTGCTATCCTTAAGGGCTCTATCAAAATTAACAAAATAATTACTGAGCAAGTGCCTAGGTGAAATGCCAACAGAGAAGCACACACTAAGGGGTTCAAATAAATCTGAAAAGTACACACTAAGTGATTCAAATACATCTGGAAAAAACTTCACAGAGGGCTGGGCGCGGTGGCTCACGCCTATAATCCAGCATTTCGGGAGGCCAAGGCGGGCGGATCACTTGAGGTCAGAAGTTCAAGACTAGCCTGGCCAACATGGTGAAACCCTATCTCTACTAAAACAAAACAAAACAAAACACTTCACAGAGGTCATTGAAAATCAACAGCAACAACAGTAATCAACACTTAGCCATTATTGTGCGCCAGTCACACTAAGCACATTATACATTTTGTCTCAATTTCATACTCACATAATCCTATAAGGAAATACACGTATTCTCATTCTACAAGTGAGAAATGTAAGGCTCAAAAAGGCTAAGTTAGTAGTAGAGCCAGGATTTAAACCCAGTCACTGTTAGTATATTCTATGAGAACTGACAGATCCTGATTAATTACCATCCTTCCTCCTAAAATCCTCAAACCTTTATCCTAACCTTTAGGCTGTTCTCTTTGCTTTCTTCCTTGCCCTAAAGCTTTTCACCATACTTGGGACACAATTAGCTCACTCACACAAGTCTAAATCCTTTAGTTTTCCCTTGTTCTGCAAAATAGGATACAATTCCCAACTTTATTATTGCCTGATTTGTATTTATTTGTTAATAATAGGCTTAGATTATGTAATTTTTGTTTAATGTTAAGCACAGAGTATCTTGAGCACATCAAGATTAAATCTGTTCAATCTTGAGAGGCAAAAAGATAAGATGCGTTGAAACTAGAAAGTAATAGGTATAGTTGATTCTTCAAAGATGATATAGTCATATCAATTTATTTAAAATGTAGGCTGGGTGTGGTGGCTCACCCCTGTAATCCCAGCACTTTGGGAGGTCAGGGAGAGCAGATCACTGAAGATCAGGAGTTCAAGACCAGCATGGCCAACATGGTGAAACCCCATCTCTACTAAAAATATAAAAATTACCCGGACGTGGTGGCGCATGCCTGTGGATCCATCTACTCAGGAAGCTGAGGCAGGCGAATCGCTTGAATCCGGGAGGTTGAGGTTGCGTTGAGCCGAGATGACGCCACTGTACTCCAGCCTGAGCAATAGATCCAGACTCCATCTCAAAAAAAAAAAAAAAGAAAATTATAGAGTTCAAGGACCTCCATGTTCAGAAGTAATTATGTTTATAATTTGCTTTCTCTCTTTTTTTTTTTTTGAGACAGAGTCTTCCTCTGTCACCCAGGCTGGAGTGCAATAGCGTCATCTCAGCTTACCACAACCTCCACCTCCCAGGTTCAAGTGATTCTCTTGCCTCAGCCTCCGGAGTAGCTAGGACCACAGGCGCATGCCACCACACCTAGCTAATTTATTTTTAGTAGAGACGGGCTTTCACTGTGTTGGCCATACTGGTCTCAAACTCCTGACCTCAAGTGATTAACCCACCTCGGCCTCCCCCTCCCAAAGGGCTGGGATTACAGGTGTGAGCCACTGAGCCCAGCATTTCTCTGTCATTTTTTTTTTTTTTTTAAAGAGACATGGTTTCTCCATGATGGCCAGGCTGGTCTTGAACTCCCAACCTCAGGTGATCCATCCGCCTCAGCCTCCCAAAATGCCGGGATTACAGGTGTGAGCCACCATGCGCGGCCTCTGTCATTTTTTTTTTGAAGACCAAGTTTCACTCTTGTTGCCCAGGCTCAAGTGCAATGGCGCAATCTCGGCTCACTGAAATCTCTGCCTCCCGGGTTCAAGCAATTCTCCTGCCTCCCGGGTTCGAGCAATTCTCCTGCCTCAGCCTCCCAAGTAGCTGGGATTACAGACATGTGCCACCATGCCTGGCTAATTTTGTATTTTCAGTAGAGACAGGGTTTCTCCATGTGGTCAGGCTGGTCTCGAACTCTCAACCTCAGGTGATCTGCCCACCTCAGCTTCCCAAAGTGCTGAGATTACAGGAGTGAGCCACTGTGCCCAGCCTCTCTATTATTTTTTATATCTTGTTTTTGTTACCACTCCTGGATGGAAAAGTAAGTCATAAAAAAGGAAAACTCAGTGAGTTTGGCTACTTGCAAGCAGCTCTGACAAAGATTTCAATTAGTAAAACAACTTAAAAATTAGGGCCAGGCACAGTGGCTCATGCCTGTAAACCTAGCTTTGGGGGGCCAAAGCAGGAGGATCACTGGAGTCCAGGAGTTCAAGACCAGCCTGGGCAACATAGTAAGACCCCATCTCTGATTTAAAAAAAAAAAAAAAATTCTTTGTTGTTTTCTATGAGAAATAATTTGGTTCAAAAAAAATTCTTAAAAATGAAGCTGCTCTATTAAAATTTCAACTTTAAAAAGTTAATAAAGAGCACTTTTTTTTCTTTTTTATTATTATTATTTTATAAGATGGGTTTTCACCACGTTGGTCAGGCTGTTCTTGAACTCCCGACCTCAGGTGATCCGCCCACCTTGGCCTCCAAAGTGCTTGGATTACAGATGTGAGCCACCACACCCGGCCTAGGAGCACTTTTTTTTTTTTTAAGAGACAGGTTCTCACTCTGTCGCCCAGGCTGGAGCACAGGGGCACAATCACGGCTCACTGCAGCCTCAACTTCTCAGGCTCAGGCATCCTCCCACCTCAGCCTCCGGAGTACCTGGGACTACAGGCACACGCCACCATGTCCAGCTAATTTTTATATTTTTTCGTAGAGATGGGGTCTCCTTATGTTGCCCAGGTTGGCCTTGAACTCCTGGGCTCAAGCCATCTGCCAACCTTGGCTTCCCAAAGTGCTGGGATTACAGTGCCTGGCCAAGAGCACGTTATATAGAGCACCTCCTCTCCACAGTTCAGGGGCTAAACAAGATGACTTTAAGAGTTTTAAAGTAGAAAGCAATCTAGTCTGAGCTAGAAGCATAAGCTGTGGAATAAAATACGATTTTGAAAACTTCAGGGTCAGCTAGGGATCTTAACCAAGACCCATTTGAGCCTCAATTTCTTTATCTGAAAATGGGGACAATATGATCTGCCTAAAATAGTTGTGAGGGTCATGTAAGAAATATACGTCAAATACTTAGCATGGTGCCCTGCATAAAGCATTGAATAAAACATCAATGGCAAAGGCTCTACTACCAGAAATATATTACGATAGGCCTGAGAATGTTCTAAAGCATATAATCTGGTTAGGAAGGCAAAGCATGATGCAGAAAATAGACAAGTATGCTATTCTCAAGTTGCAATAATTTATACATAGCTGCAATTAGAAATCAAAATATTAATAACAGCTTGCATCATTCTGGTTTCAAATTTCCCTGATGCAATGCCGCACATATACTCAAGTATTTCGGCAATCAGGGAATACATATATCGTATCTTTTCGTCTTTTTTCTTTTTTTTGAGACAGAGTTTCACTCGTTACCCAGGCTGGAGTGCAATGGCGCGATCTTGGCTCACCGCAACCTCCGCCTCCTAGGTTCAGGCAATTCTCCTGCCTCAGCCTCCTGAGTAGCTGGGATTACAGGCATGCGCCACCACGCCCAGCTAATTTTTTGTAGTTTTAGTAGAGACGGGTCACCGTGTTGACCAGGATGGTCTCGATCTCTTGACCTTGTGATCCACCCGCCTCGGCCTCCCAAAATGCTGGGATTACAGGCTTGAGCCACCGCGCCCGGCCTCATCTTTTAATATCTTTTAATATCTGAGGTTTTGAAGTAAGGGAACATAAATTTACTATTCTTTACAACTAATTTTTAAAAGATGCATATTTAGTAACATTACACCACATAATCCTAATACAAATAAATTCAATTCTAAACCTTAAGCTTTTTTCATTTTTTTGTTTTTTTGAGACAGGGTTTCACTGTCACTCAGGCTAAAGTACAGTGGCACAATCATGGCTCACTGCAGCCTCTACCTCCTGAACTCAAGCGATCCTCCCAACTCATAGTTTTAGAGATGGGGGTCTCACTATATTGCCTAAGCTGGTCGAGACTTTTCAACAGAAGCAACTGAAACCAGAAAACTTAATTTCTTCATAAACTGAGGCTGGCACAGTGGCTCATGCCTGTAATCCCAGAACTTTGGGGGCTGAGGCAGGCAGATCACTTGAGGCCAGGAGTTCGAGATCAGCCTGATCAACATGGTGAAGCTCCGTCTCTACTTAAAATACAAAACTTAGCTGGACGTGGTAGCGCGGACCTGTAATACTCCCACATACTTGGGAGGCTGAGGCAGGAGAATCTCTTGAACCCAGGAGGTGGAGGCTGCAGTGAGCAGAGATTCAACCACTGCACTCCAGCCTGGATGACAGAGTAAGACTCCACATAAAAACCAACCAACCAAAAAAAAAAAAAAACAGGCCGGGTGCAGTGGCTCAAGCCTGTAATCCTAACACTTTGGGAGGCCAAGGTGGGTGGATCACCTGAGGTCCGGAGTCCGAGACCAGCCCGGCCAACATGGTGAAACCCCGTCTCTACTAAAACACAAAAATTAGCCGGGTGTGCGCCTGTAATCCTAGCTACTCAATGGTGGGGCGGGGGGGACGAGACAGGAAAATTGCTTGAACCCGGGAAGCAGAGGTTCCAGTGAGCCAAGTTCATGCCACTGCACTCTAGCCTGGACGACAGAGCGAGACTCCGTCTCAAAATGAAAACAGTACCCTAGTATGCTAATACTCTTACTTCTTTTTCTTCTTTTTTTTTTTTAATAACAAAGTCTTGTTGCCCAAGCTAGAGTGCAATGGCGCCATCTTGGCTCACTGCAAACTCTGCCTCCCAGGTTCAGGCAATTCTCCTGCCTCAGCCTCCTGAGTAGCTGGGATTCCAGGCACTCGCCATCATGCCCAGCTAATTTTTGTAGATGGGGTTTCACCATGTTGGCCAGGCTGGTCTGGAACTCTTGACCTCAGGTGATCTGCCAGCCTCAGCCTCCCAAACTGCTGGATTACAGGCATGAGCCGCCATGCCCAACCTACTCTTATTTCAATAATTACCAATAATGATACAACAAGAATGTATACAATCTAATCTTCATTTTACTGTGATTTTACCTTTACACCACTGTTGGGGTTTCAGAAAGCAGAAAGCAGGTGTTTTATTGTAGACAATCTTGAATGAATTCCAAGTTCCACAATATGACTTTGTGGCTTAAGATAATATTTTAACTTTTCAGTGCCTTAGTTTCCTCATTTACAAAATGACGATCATAATAGTTGCTACCGCTTAAATTTACGGTGATAATTAAATAAGGTAAGGTTGGTATGTGGTAGACACACAAAAATGTTAAATCATTATTCTTTTATCCAGTCAGAAATCCTAAGCTGTAGACTCCACTGCAGTCTCATTCACCCAAACTTTAATTTTACATCTTAACTAAATGTGTCATTTGAAACCCTGTGCGTTTAGAGCGGTGGAGACAGGACCTTCATCATATTCTGACTTTTAAATATATAAACTCTAAATAATTCCATTTAATAAGACATAGCCCAAGTCCCAGAACACGTTTTGAGAGTAACTAGAAACAGGTTATTTGTTCTGCTTTCTTTAATCACTGCTATTGGATGGGGTCATCCAAACAAGTGGTTGTGAGCCCCAATTCTATTTTCCACCAGTTCAATGATTAAAATAAATTACAAAAATGCAAAATACAGCACAAGGTGTAGTTCGAAATGCGTGCTTGTTAAACCTTAGGCTCTGGGGTGTGAAAAGAAAGATTCCGGATACCATGACCAGCAGTTATCATAGGGGATGGGGGACGCGGAGTGGGGAGCCGCGGAGAAGGTTCCAGATATCAAAGGAAACTGAAAGAGTAGCTCACAGCACACATGTTCCTCTTTCTAGAGTTGAATCTATTTCCAGGAAGGAAATTACAGTATTGCATGACTAACAAAAAAGGTAATTAAAAAAAAATCTTGAACCAAAAAAAAAAAAAGCTAGGTTTGATTCTAGCTTTCCCAGCTGCTTATCTTCCCACAAATGACATCTCTGAGCCTCGTATTTCTCCTAATATGGGGATGAATAATATACACCTTAGAGAACTGTGTTGACGATTAGATGACAAATGAAAGCATTTTGTATGTAGTAAAAGCCTCGTATAAAATTAAATTCTTGGGACGTGGGGAGAAGCTAAGAATATATCTCCATTAACTCTAAGCCAACTTTCCTCCCCAAAAGGAAAATATGAAAAGGAAATTTTTCCTATGTTTGAGTCTGTCTCTAGCCTTTACTCGCTTTGACAAGGACAAGGTGTCCTCGCTCTTCTGACAGCCTTCTTCGCAGTCTAGAGACCTTCTAATTCCAGCTTTGCTACTAAAAGTTCTTTTAGTGTAGCCTCAAAAAATCTTTTCCCCCATCCGTGCCTCCTTATCTACTAAATAGGAATAATAGCTACCATGCTTGCTTGAAAGGACACACAGAGTGTTCAAGGTAACTGGGACAGGCACTTAGAACGACAAGGCCTCCAATGCCCGCGGCCATGCACAAAATTGCACAATTTAAAATTCCAGGCACCATTGTTTTGTGCACCAGTTCAGTCACGTTTTCAAGGCGTCTGCATGGTCTGTCGTTTAATTTTTGGTGAAAGTCAAAGCAGGAAAGGTATTACCTCATGTTACTGAAAATACAAACGCTAGGACGCTCGGCTACTGGAACCTATTGATTCCTCATGCCTGGTTCACCTAACCGAGAATACACTCGCCACCTTCTAAGTCTGTTTATTTTATAAACAACGGAGAAATGTGAAGCTTGGACTGGCGGGGGAAGGACTGAGCCAAAAAACCGAATCTGTTCTCGGCGGAGGTGGGAAGGGGCCCAGGGGTCCGGGCTCAAAGAAGCGGGTTCGTCTTTTTCTCCGCGGAAGAACCAGACAGGACCCCGCCCTGGGGGTTCTGAGAAGCCGGGCCCTTTAAACCTCTGCGTCGGGGGCTGCCTCCCAACAGCTGCCGTAGCGAAATGAGGGTGCTGAGGTGGGGGGGGGGCTGCCAAACTAACACGCCCCACCCCGCGGCGGCCTAGCAGCTTTCTCCAACCCCAATCCTGGGTGCCCCTGAGCGAGCTGCCCTAGCAGCACCCTGAAGCCGGAACCTTCGCCGCAGCCCCTCGAGGTCAGCCCTTGCCCACAGCCACGCTGCAAAATATGGGCTGGCGAAACCTGGGGGCACTTAGAGGACCGTCTGGAACACGGAGGTGGGGGCTGGGAAAGAAGAAATGAGGATGTGGGTGGGGGAGGGGAGCAACAACCTTCGCAGCCATTTTGTCCTCGTTCCACTTCCGTCTTCTCCTCCCCAGCTCCCGCGCCCGAACCCCTCCCTTCAGGCCCGGCGCGATTCCTCCCCCAGTTCTTCGCGGGCTGAGATCGCGGCTAGTGCTGCTGTCATTGGTTGGTTCCCAGTTTGCCCACCCCTCTTCCTCCTCCTCCTTCCGCCCCCTCCCGCCCGCGCTGACTGGGGGCGCATGCGTAGAGGCGGACGCTCCCCTCCCCCGCCCGGGGTAACTGAGGACTCCCGCGCGCGGGCTCTCTGCGCCCCACCCTCCCTTTCCCCGGGGCCGTCCGGAGAGCGGGGGCGAGCTTTTGAAAGTTCCAGAACGCTGCGGTGAGTGCGTTATCGCGAGGCGGAGCGCGGAGAGGTGGGTGCGGGGTGCGGAGGGCGGGGCGGGGCGGGGCCCGAGGAGTGGAACTGGGCTTGTGATTGGGTCTTGTAAAGGCAGCCGGGCGTCTATTGGCCGGAGAAGCCGTAATGGCAGGCATCAAGGGCGGGCCCCTTCTGGAAGGTTCTGAGACCGGGTATAAGAGGCGGGGTGGCGGGCGGAAACCGGTCTCATTGAACTCCTCTGCAGCTCTCGGGAATAGTGTGGTTTTCTTCGTTGTCGGGGCCAGGCCTACACGCCAGGTAAAATATCTTCTTAAGAGTTGGGTGGTGGACCTGGGAGCTTGCACTCAGGCGGGTTGGACTTGCTGCGGCTCGGAGGGTTCTGAGAATCTCGCCCTGTCGACTGTGGCCCTTTCCACAGGATTGAGGCTTAGTTCTCGGTGAGGTGGCAGCGGTTCTCAGTGCAGCCGGCTGGACAGAAATGTAGGGTGTGGGTCGCGGCGTCCGCAGGGAAGGCTGGGCGGTGCCCAGCGACCGCGTGGCGGGGGAGGGTTGCCGCATCGGTTTGTCCGGCGCGCAGGGAAGTGGAGCCAGCGCTTACCCCCGGTTTTCTGGTTAGTCCAGTCTCACCGTGGTTTTTCAGAGCCGTTCTGGGCGTGCCTCCAATATGGGGTGAATTGCGGAGTAGTTAAAAGCCCGTTGACTCCGGGGGGCCCTGGCACCTGGCAAGGGAGGGGAACAGATAGGGCTTAGCTCAGGGTTGAGACCACGTGCTCAGCAACGTCCCAGGCCCTCTAGGCAGATGGGTCCATTCAGGGCATGCTCTTGTTGCGGTTGGCACGGCAACCTGGACTGCAGCACTAGTTGTTCGCAGCCTCCCGCGTGCTTAGACAAGAGGTGGTGGAGCACGATTCACGTTTGCAGTGGTCATACCTTTAGCCCAGTTATGAGTTCTGTGAGGGATAGGGCAAGTATTTGATAGAATTTTTAAGCCAGGTTTTTGTTTTTTAGCAACCATGTCGAAGGGACCTGCCGTTGGTATTGATCTTGGCACCACCTACTCTTGTGTGGGTGTTTTCCAGCACGGAAAAGTAGAAATAATTGCCAATGATCAGGGAAACCGAACCACTCCAAGCTATGTCGCCTTTACGGACACTGAGCGATTGATAGGTGATGCCGCAAAGAATCAAGTTGCAATGAACCCCACCAACACGGTTTTTGGTGAGTTACTAATTTTGGGTGATTACGGAACAAATTTAACAAGGCTGGAAAGCGGAAAGTCTGATGGCAAGTTTATGAAATGTAATGGGGGAGCTTTTTGTTTCAAGAAAAATAGGCTTATTCTCAGGTCTTTCAGGCTGTGGTCTAGATAGCATAGTATGTCAAAATTTGATCCTTGACTACATGTATGGTAGTTGAATTCATCTGCCTATGAAATTAGGTAGATGAATCATAGACTTTGGTTTTTATCAGAAAAGATAGGAGATTTAAGCGTTATCATTTGATACCTTTTGCAGATGCCAAACGTCTGATTGGACGCAGATTTGATGATGCTGTTGTCCAGTCTGATATGAAGCATTGGCCGTTTATGGTGGTAAATGATGCTGGCAGGCCCAAGGTCCAAGTAGAATACAAGGGAGAGACAAAAAGCTTCTATCCAGAGGAGGTATCCTCTATGGTCCTGACAAAGATGAAGGAAATTGCAGAAGCCTACCTTGGGAAGGTGAGGTTTGTGTCTGGCAACCCTAGAAACGGATGAATCTTGACAAAATTCCACAGTAATTAACATTGGGGGGTCTCCAGCTGTTTTTCACCAGCATTAATAAAATCCCATTTGCTGGAAGTGAAATAGTTTGGTTAATCAGTGGTCTTTGTTCCTTATTCTAGACTGTCACCAATGCTGTGGTCACAGTGCCCGCTTACTTTAATGACTCTCAGCGTCAGGCTACCAAAGATGCTGGAACTATTGCTGGTCTCAATGTACTTAGAATTATTAATGAGCCAACTGCTGCTGCTATTGCTTACGGCTTAGACAAAAAGGTTGGAGCTGAAAGAAACGTGCTAATCTTTGACCTGGGAGGTGACACTTTTGATGTGTCAATCCTCCCTATTGAGGATGGAATCTTTGAGGTCAAGTCTACAGCCGGAGACACCCACTTGGGTGGAGAAGATTTTGATAACCGAATGGTCAACCATTTCATTGCTGAGTTCAAGCGCAAACATAAGAAAGACATAAGTGAGAACAAGAGAGCTGTAAGACGCCTCCGTACTGCTTGTGAGCGTGCTAAGCGTACCCTCTCTTCCAGCACCCAGGCCAGTATTGAGATCGATTCTCTCTATGAAGGAATTGATTTTTATACCTCCATTACCCGTGCCCGATTTGAAGAATTGAACGCTGATCTGTTCCGTGGAACCCTGGACCCCGTAGAGAAGGCCCTTCGAGATGCCAAACTAGACAAGTCACAGATTCATGATATTGTTCTGGTTGGTGGTTCTACTCGCATCCCCAAGATTCAGAAGCTTCTCCAAGACTTTTTCAATGGAAAAGAACTGAATAAGAGCATCAACCCTGATGAAGCTGTTGCTTATGGTGCAGGTAACAATAGTATTTGAATTAATTCTGATGTTAGGCAGGCCCAAGATGACTCGCTGTGATGAGTGATTGTTAAACATTCGTAGTTTCCACCAAAAGCTTGGCTAATGATGGCACACCTTCCTTGGATGTCTGAGCGAAATGATGGGTTATTAAAACAGGAACTGCCTTGGGTTTTCTTTTAACTTTTCAGTATTTTATCATTAACTTTTTTCTTTGTTAGCTGTCCAGGCTGCCATCCTGTCTGGAGACAAGTCTGAAAATGTTCAAGATTTGCTGCTCTTGGATGTCACTCCTCTTTCCCTTGGTATTGAAACTGCTGGTGGAGTCATGACTGTCCTCATCAAGCGTAATACTACCATTCCTACCAAACAGACACAGACCTTCACCACCTATTCCGACAACCAGCCTGGTGTGCTCATTCAGGTATGTTGCTATGCTTACCTTGCCTTACTGATCTCATGTAGAATGAAATCTTGACCAACTCGCTATGATGATGGATTTCAAAACCATTCGTAGTTTCCACCAGAAAGTCTTAATGTTGGCCAGTTCCTTCCTTGGATGTCTGAGCGATGAGTCTTCCTTAGCAGCACTCTTATTAGCACAGAGACCTGAAGTCCATTGTAGTAATTTTGTTTTATTCTCTACCAAGGTTTATGAAGGTGAGCGTGCCATGACCAAGGATAACAACCTGCTTGGCAAATTTGAACTCACAGGCATACCTCCTGCACCCCGAGGTGTTCCTCAGATTGAAGTCACTTTTGACATTGATGCCAATGGCATCCTCAATGTGTCTGCTGTGGACAAGAGTACAGGAAAAGAGAACAAGATTACTATCACTAATGACAAGGGTAAGTGGGCCCACAGGGCACTGCCATCTGTTCTTGACAGGGATCACAAGGGTATTTCAATTGTTGCTGGTGCCCTAAAGGCATCTAGCTAAGAAAGTGGGGTGGTTGCCTTGCAGGCTATATATATACACGGGTTAATTAAGTTCAAGGTCTTAACTTAAAAAGACTTAATTTCTCTCAATAGGCCGTTTGAGCAAGGAAGACATTGAACGTATGGTCCAGGAAGCTGAGAAGTACAAAGCTGAAGATGAGAAGCAGAGGGACAAAGTGTCATCCAAGAATTCACTTGAATCCTATGCATTCAACATGAAAGCAACTGTTGAAGATGAGAAACTTCAAGGCAAGATTAACGATGAGGACAAACAGAAGATTCTGGACAAGTGTAATGAAATTATCAACTGGCTTGATAAGAATCAGGTTTGTGATTTTTTTTTTCCCTTAACTAAATTGTGGGGGAGGGGATGGCAAACCAAGCTTTCAAGCTGGATTTCAGTTATAGGGTCACAATGATGAATGGTCCAAAACATTCGCGGTTTCCACCAGAATTCAAGGTGTTGGCAACTACCTTCCTTGGATGTCTGAGTGAACCAAGATGTTAAGGAATAAGGCCCCGTTTTAATAGTGGCCTTCTAAGAGTTTGTGTCTTTTTGTGTCAGATTCCATCAGGATTACAGAAGCGTTAACAACATTACAAGGACTCATGGTAATTCGTTTTTTTTCTTCCTCAGACTGCCGAGAAGGAAGAATTTGAACATCAGCAAAAAGAGCTGGAGAAAGTCTGCAACCCCATCATCACGAAGCTGTACCAGAGTGCAGGAGGCATGCCAGGAGGAATGCCTGGAGGATTCCCTGGTGGTGGAGCTCCTCCCTCTGGTGGTGCTTCCTCAGGGCCCACCATTGAAGAGGTTGATTAAGCCAACCCAAGTATAGATTTAGCATTGTTCCACACATGTAAAACATTGAAGGACCTAAATTTGTAGCAAATTCTGTGGCAGTTTTTAAAAGTTGAGCTGCTATAGTAAGTTACTGGGCATTCTCAATACTTGAATATGGAACATATGCACAGGGGAAGGAAATAACATTGCACTTTATAAACACTGTATTGTAAGTGGAAAATGCAATGTCTTAAATAAAACTATTTAAAATTGGCAACATACAACTGTCTTGAGTCTTTAAATAGCTTCTCAGACCAGCTGGTGGGAGAAATAGGCTTAGTAGGTGATTATATGAATCTTACTGACTTCCCCCCTCCCTCTTAAGGTTGAATTAGTGAGGG